TAAATAAAGTTGCTCTTCAGCTTTATGTTAGTTCTGCTGCTCTCGCCATAAGAAATTTCTTGCAGGCTTGAGTGCTCAGAAGGTGCCTCGCTGGCTGTTTTGCAATCCCAAGTCCTTTGTTTCGCCACGGAAAAGCTGTGGCACTGTGGACTAGATGCATGCGAACACACACACACACACACACACGCTGCTGCTTTTCCTCCCTCCTCTTCTGTACCCCAGCCATGCCCTGCGGGGTCCTACCTTTAGAGCCTGTGTTTACTGTAGAGGCTGGCTGTTGGAAGTTTGCCCTGCTTAGAAATCTTGCCAACCCCCTTGAGTTTCTCCTGTATGAAAAATTACCAAGCACCACCTGCCCAGAGAGTGGGAAAACGTGGGTGGATATTAGCAAGGATGCTGAACTGGGATGGAGGGCAAGCCTCGCAAGCACCGAACTATCCCTCCTTCCAAAGAGGACCGTGTTATAAAAGAGGAGGAGGAAGACGACAGGCGGTTTTGTAGCAAAAGATTTTTCTTGTTTAATTCAATCACTGAAATGGTATAATCTGGCCTGGTATAATTCTCTCCATTTGTACTTGTGCAGTAGTTGCAAACATGCTGAAATATGAACTCATGCTTGGTAAGCCTTTAATTCCAGCTTTGATGTTTTTAATCATCAGTGCAGATTTGGTAAAAATGATTCATTAGTTTGAAATGCATTTTGGATTACACGTGATGTTGTGGAGAATCGAGGAGGCAGAGACAGGGGACGGTTGTTCTTTGGGATGTTCTTTGTGCCTCTTCTGATTCTTGAAGTAGGGCCCTTAAATACCTCTCAGCCCATCAGCTTTAGAGGCCTCTTGGGCATCCAGCCCTGCATTCGGATGCCTCCTCGCTGCATCTGTTCCTGGTCAAAAATCAAGCAGTCCTTGCTCAGAAACATGTCAGCTAAGGATGTGGTCAGCGTGCTTGGGGCAAGGCGGAGCACGTGGCCCAGCTCCTGCAAGAGGTGCAGCGGCACAAGGAGAGTTTCCAGGCTTGTTTGTCTTCCCTGCCTGCTGTCTGCCTGGAACCACTCCCTTAACCCTTGCGTTCACGTTCTCCCAAGCCTGCGATGTGCGGGTGGCGTTGGGTTGATTTTCCCCAAGCCACGGTCACGTACGGTATGCTGAACTGTATCCTGCAGTGACTGGGGAGGATTGAAAGCAAGCTGGATTCAGAGCTGCGGCTTGGAGACAAATCCTCAATCCCATTACTTGTTCCCTGGCAGTCCTGTTTTGAAAATCGGGTACCAGAGGTGTTATCGGAGTCGCTGAGGCTCCTGCCCGGAATGGATCGCCCTCTGAATCAACGTGGCTGTTGAATTCCAGCTGCCCCCACTGCTCCATGAATATAAAGATGCCTTTCACTGCTACAGTCGTTTCCATATGGAAAGTGGGATTTTGTTCCTGTAAAGTCACCTTTATACCAATATATTCATGTCAGAGGCGCCGATTGTGTAAACATTTTCAGATCCCCTTGCAGATCGCTGTGGGACGTGCAGTGGAAGTGCTGCTTGATGTGAATGTGATTTTTATGTTTTAGATTTTTTTTCAAAGGATAAATTTGACTGGGTGCAGCCAAACACACTTGACCCTGCTCCGAGCTAGCGTGCTCGGCCCCTGCCGAAGGACGTCCCAGCCACAGCAACCTCCGCAAAGCTCTGCGGCAGGGGAAGGACTTCACTCAGTACCGTCCTTTTGAAGACAAAGATGAAAAACCGAGGAAAATTCTGGAAGCTCTCCAGCCCTGCCTCCGTCAGAAAGGGAAGTAGAGTGAAATAACCACTTTGTCACTATTGTGTGATGAAAGGCTTGTATCTGGAAGGCATGTTCTGAACGGCTGAGGAGTAGATGCAACTCTTCCCAAGTTTGTCTGCAAGGCTGTTTCTTCTGTAACAAATTGTTAAGCAACAAGTACACGGCAGATTCAGATCTCAAATAAGATAGGGACAGCCTCACAAAGGCACTTTCCGATGTTCAAGGCTTCCTTTTGTGCTTTTTTTTTTCTTGTTTTCTTGGTTTTTTTTTTTATTTTTTTATTTTAAGTCTCTGACATCCAGCTGCTGCCTCTCTTCTTCCTCTGTTCTTAACGCAGCGCGAGGAGCGGAAGGCAGGGCCGTGCGGCATAATGCATCGTGTGCCCCGTGGTACGGCAGCCCGGGTTGAGCCAAACCTGCTTTTACCACAAATCCCTTTTTTACCAACCGCGGTGCGAACAGCGCTTGTTGCTGTTTTCTCACCTTTCCGCCTCCCGCTTTGTTTTTTGTAAAGGCTCTTACTGGATTCCTCATGCTTTGTGCGGATTTTATTTTGCTTCCAGCTTGTGTGTTTCTTCTAAAAACTCTTTTTTTTTTTTTTTTTTTTCCAGACTGAAGAAAACTGGACATTATCAGTGCTTTTCTTATTGTTAGGTTTGGTTTTGGTTTGTCCTTTTCTTTTTTTTTTCTCCCCTGGAGGATTGTGTAATCATTGGATCGTTTTATTCTATAGCTGTAAATAGACAAAGGAACTAGTACAGGGAGTTTTTCAGGGGTAGCTGTTCACAATTACCTATTGAAATGAATCGCACATGCAAACATGTTTATTCCAGCACAGAACTACCTACTCGCCCAGATTTAGTCCTCCATCTACTTTACGCTCGGGTTATTAACAGTGCCTGTAAAAGTTAGCTGAGGAAAAGGAAAGAGAGAGGAATGTTTGTTCAGGTAAGCCTTGTTGTTTGAAGAGGCACCCGCACGGGGAGGGTTGGGGATATAGTGAAAGCGATCGTATGTGGGTAAGCCCGTAGGCTGGGAAAAGGAACATTTAAAATTGGTCTGAAAAAAATGCTGAAGAAAACTCCCCTGAGAAGAATCCTGCGGGAGATCAAGTCTAACAAAGTTACGGTAACCTCGGGAGTTGCCATCTCCCAGCTGAGCCGCCGGAGCTGTCTGTGTGTGTTATACCTGTCTGGTGTGAAGCGAAATGGGTTTCCTCGGTCAACGATTCTGCGCTCAGAGGCAAGACCATTTCCTTGCTTAGGGTCGATGCTTCCTCCTTTCGCCTCCAGTGACTCAAAGCCACTGCTCCAGAGAGGAGAGTAAAATGGGTTTGACATGATGAATATTCATGCACTCGCTCACTCCAATCTCTTTCCTCTTTTGCCATGGGAAGAGCTGGAGCGGAGAGACGTTTCTTGGCTCGCAGAGTGATGGATAAAGGTCTTGTCAGCAACTGACTTTTTGCTAATCCTTTTTATTATAGGAAGGATGTTGTAGCTGGACTCCACTCTCTGAACTAAGACTTTTTAGTATGCTTTGACTTTAAGGTAGGAATTCCAGCTCTGCGCTACAAGAAGCGCAGCTGACCGGTATCAGTCATCTCAGTAGGAACTGGTGTGAATTTTGAGGTGCGTTCCCAAGCCTGCGGAGTTTCGAAACAGACTGCAAAGGTTTGATATCTGCATCCTGCAGCATCCCAAAGAGCTCTAGAGCTGCTCGCACAAAGCGGCTGCTCTCTCGGTGCTCTGATGAACATCGCAGATTTCCCCTAGCTCGCCTCTTCTGTAAAGCCTGCAGGAAATTGCAATCCGATAAGTTAGGCAAGTAGCAAGTCCTGTCCATTGTTCCTTATTGTTTGGGGATTGTTTACATCCCCTTTTTTGTTATCCCATCTCCCTGACTCTTCTCTGACCTTGCCTACTTGTTTCGTCCATTGTGTGTGGCATTTGTTGTTGTGGTGAACTCTTAGGGACAGCTGCTAGCGAACGACGGGATTATACAGCCCCTAGCACACTGGGGTTTAGTCTCTGTACTATTTTTTTGGGCTGCTGTGGTTTATTCTACCGAAATAATAATAATACTACTACCCTTTAAGCACAGGACTAAGTGCACTCTCCCACTGTGGACTTGGGAGCAAGTAATGCGTCTTTCCAGATTTGGTATCACCCGCTTGGGATTTTTTTATGTCACGCTTCCATAAAATATTTCTTCAAATGCAGAGGCCAAATAGCAGGATGCTTCTGAAAACCTAAAGCCCATCCTGAATACTGGTCCTTGTGCATGTTTTCTTCCCAGAAGGGCTTGGATCTTGATCCTGAAAAGTAGTTCAGAGTCGGATTAAATTTGCAAATGAATTTAGGATTCCCTGCTTCTGTTGGCGTGAGTGGACCCCGTTTGGTGGGCAGGGCATGCTGGCCCACTATCACCTTGCTCAGGAAATCTGCAGCATAGTTGGAGTTATTTTCAGAGGAGCACGGAGCATCTAACAGTCCTTTCTGCTTGTGCAGAGATAGTGCTGATGTTCACCTCCAAAGGCAGCGTTCTCGCCGACAAGTGCATCTGAGGCCAAGTGAATCTAAGAATGATGCTCCCCGCGCGGGGGGAACATGTGTGAGAGGCATTGGGAAAACCAAGGAAATATTTACACTGGGAGGGGACTGTTTACAGTGCAGTTCAAACAGTTGATGTTATTTAGAGCAGCCAGTGCTGTGTCGTATTTTGCTTTTGCTCTTCTCATGAGGGTCAGGCACAAGGAAAGGATCAAATAGGGCTAGCAGGGCTGTCCTTGGACGGTGTGGAGTATCTAACAGCTGCAGTCAGGATAGGTGGTGAGAAGAATAAGCAACTGTGATTCAGGCTCGTGGTTGAAGTCAAGGTCAGGGTGGACTCTGGGGTAGTTGTAGTGTGGGGACACCACTGTTTGTTGGAGATTTTGGCCCTGCTAGCTGATGTTTGGATGGTCTCTGAAGCCCATGTGTGCTGCAGCGTGACGGGTTGTCAGTAATGCAAAAGTATAATTTCAAAATTTGGAAGTCTCTTTTGTGTTGGGAGAAGGGAATACAACTGAGGTACTGATGTCATGATGTTCCGTGTGGCTGTTGAGCTGGGAATTTGCGTTCAAACTGCTTCGTGTTACAGTATCTTCCCCAGCATGCTTTGTAGGTATACCACATATTGTTTTAATTTAAAACCAGCCTGTCTCTCTTGTTCTGTTTTTAGCATGGCTGACAAGAACAGCACCCTGAAATGCACGTTCTCTGCTCCTGGCCACAGCACCACTCTACTGCAGGGACTGGCCTCGCTCCGAGCTCAGGCTCAGCTGCTTGATGTCATCCTCACTATAAATAATGAAGTGTTTCAGGTTCATAAAGTTGTCTTGGCTGCCTGCAGTGACTATTTCAGGTGAGAATCCGATAGGGAAGCAGGCATTTTTACCTTTCCCATTGGTTTTCTGTTTCCCCGTCCTCCCCCACCCCAACCTTCCCACCGCACCCCAAAATCACACCCACGCACAACCTTTTGGAGGTACCGTTTGCCCCACGGAAGGATTCGGTGGGATTACCTGCGGGCACGTAGAGGCTCGGAGTCAATCCCTCTGCACGCAGATGAGGTTTGTGTTGACTACAGCCGCTGGGCCAAGACTCAAGTTCAAGCCAAGGTCTTGAACCCACCTCGGCAGCGTTGGTAGGTGCTCTGCCTGCTCAAGGAGACAGGCTTTTTGCCCTGGAGCTCCTCGGGCCGATTGGGAAGTGGCAGCGAGGGCTCTGAAATGAGTCATCCCATTGAAGGGTTGTGGCTGGTGGCGCCGGTTGGAAATAGGGCTGGTGTTATCTGTAAATACCACTGATCTGTCTGCAGTGCTTACTGTTCCCAGGCTGAAGAGTATGAAGCATTTTGGGTGTGCATTCCCCAGAGCCCCGGGGAGATGGGGGGGGGAGAATTGTCCCATCCTGTGTGGGTAGAAAACTGAAGCGTGGAGATGAGTTTTCTCAGCCAGGTGAATGCGGAGCGAGCCGACTGTGGAGCAGGAAATTCAGTCTTAAGCGAAAATCTGTGTTCGTCCATCTTGCCTCTGTTGAACTCCTTTGTAATGGTTGTCTGACTTGGGATGACTTCTCTTTTGAGTTGGGGCTACTGGCAGCACCAGGAGCAGTGTCAAGTGAGGTGCGTGCTGGAGGCAATGGGTATAGGGAAGGTTCAAAACAAAGCAGAACTCCTCCGGGGTGTTCTAGGCTGCAGGTAGGGGTGGAGAAGGGACGTTTGGAGGGGGGGGATTTGCAATCCCTTGATGTGTAGGTTCCTTCCTGACCCGAGCAGACTGGTTTGCTGAACAGGTAACCGAGAGCAAGGGATTTCAGTGTCCCTTGGCGTATCTCTTGTATCCCTTTGCCCGTTTCTTCAGCTGCTCTGGCGATGTCTGTCTTATGTACACACGTATTTTCTAGGCTGTTCCCTTCTCACTCCCTTTGGTAACATAAACCTTCCAAGCTTATCACTCTCCCTAACAGGCATGCAATTAATGATGGAGCTGATCTCCCACCAAATGCTAATAGCACTATTTGTATTCATAAATGCTGTATGCAGTGCCACTGCTAGTGTGTTTTCACTGTCGAAACATAATTGCTGAGTAGGTTTCTTGTTATAACTTCTGTGGTGCTAAGGAAGGTTGTCCTGGGGAACAATGGCAGAATAATCTAGCTTTCGAAAATACTCTTGTTTTTATGCAGAAGGGGGGAGGAAAAGGAGTGAAATTGAGGCATTTATATAATCAGCATTTTAGAACCGTAACACTTTTTAAAGGAATTGCATTCTATTTGATGATTTGTTTTCATCATGGCAACAATAATGCTTTTCCGTCCTTATGCACGTTCAGCTCTGTACAGCTAATGCACGAGTACACGTGTGCCTGCATATCCTCTGGGGCGAGGGATCAGGGCAGCGTGCTGTTCTGCGACATGGGATATGCGAGGGGATTTTAGCAGAATGCTCTCATCTGCTATATGGACAAATAATTGCAAACAGTATTCCTGGTCACTCGGTTACAGAAAGCTGATTTCATATGCAGGTATTTCCTTATTTAGGTCATTTAGGATTTCTTGGGTTTATGCTGGACGGCAGCAGGTTTTCTAGCCTGGTTTGGACAGGAAACTCGGAACTCCTGTCTTTTGACAGTGTTCCCAAGATATTCCTTTATTCCTGTGCGGATGCAGAAGAGCAGGGTCTGTTCAGCATTTTTTCTGAGTAACTTGCACCTTGGAGTCCCTGCAGCTTCCTAAGGCAGCTGTAATGACACCAGGCCTTCACAGTGAATTTACCTTTCCGATGCAAAAGATTTGGTTATCGATGGTGGAAAAACCAGCCCAAAACGTGCAGGCCGCTGCCGGCCGTTCCGAAGGTCTTTTGTGTGACAGTCCGTAGCCTCGCCGCGGTGTGCGTACAATGGCAGTGAATGGTGAATCTCCACGTCACAGTTCTTCCAGCAACCTGTTTTGACTTCGGCTTCCCCAGAACTGCTCTGCTACTGCTTGTTGAGTGCTACCCAGAGCGCAAACCTTTGCCCCCGAGCTCCCCATATATAACAAAACCTGCTGAAATTTAATGTAAACGTATAAAAAAACCCAAATGTGCAGTTATGTCCCCATCACGCCCACAGGCCCCGTAGCTGGGAAATGCAGCGCCGCTCTAGAA